GAAAAATATATTTAAATTGTTGTATAGTAAAGATTAGTTGTATTATAATAATATAAACATATATTGATACATAAAACATTAAAGGAAATAAGGAGTACAATTAATGCTATATAATATTTTTATATTTGGTGCATTAGAACGAATATGAAGAATGAGTAGTTTCCAGTAGACAAACTTATTTACGTTGTAGTCATTGTAGTACATGAAGTGATAATTTCTGCACTATTTAAATTTAATTTTCAATTTTTGAATAAAATATATTATACTCAGATATCGTTAGGTTCTGAATTTATCTGTTAACCATTGGTGAAAATGAGAAGAACTTCGAATAGAGTCTTAACCCATTACCTTCTCAATATTTTTAGCCTTGTGAGCTCGTAAAATTTTCTTGTAAAATTTAATTTTACTAACTATTTTTTCCATGAAAATATTTATTATTAATTATGATGATCGGAAGGAATGTTTTCCATTTCAAAATTATAATATTTGATTTTCTAAACAATAAAATGTACTTATGCATTTGTGGCTTGCTCAAATTAAGTGTTTACTAAGCCATTAGTTCATTAAATATTAGTAAATACCGTTATAATTTATTATTTATTCAATTAATAATTTTAGTAATATTTGAAGTCATTTTCATGGGTTACATCCACATATTCGTATATATTATGCAAGCATATAATGTTATTATTGAATGTTAACCTCTACTGCCGGCTGGTACTGAAATTCTATTTTGGCAATGATTAACTGGGTCGCTAATTATAGAATGACATTGATAATGCTGTTGGCTAGCTATAATTTATAAAGCCGTGCATACACCAGACTAAAGAACCTTTAAAAATAGAATAACTTAAAAAAAACTATTTTTCTTTCCGAATAAATTCTAATGTGAGAGAATTTTCTGGATACTAATGTAAAACAAAAAAAATTTATTAAATTGAGTAGGTAACAATTTTTCATTTATTTACACGATAACAAGAATGAAGTCAGTTTTTTATGATACAAATATATTCTGCCAATCCACTAGGTATGTGAGCAAATTGGATTGAATTGGATGTTGAATTTTCTTACATACTAACCCATCGAATGGTTACTAAGATGGAATTATTTTTGTCTTAGACAATGATTGCTTTGATTTCATCGTACATCACCAATACTAAGGCACCACCGGTTCCTCTCAATACATTTGAGAAAGCTCCCTTGAAGAAAGCACCAGCCCCTTCTGTCTTTGCAATTACCGACCAACAATGGAGAGTGCTCTTGTAGACGAGTTCAGATTTAGCACGACCACTCTGCATCATCATACGCCTCCTGACTGTATCGAAGGGATAGGAAACAATTCCAGCGACAGTGGTTACAGTCTAAAAAAGTATAAGTAAATGTCAATCATTGATCAAAAATTAATTTTCACGTTTTATATCAAAAAAAAAAAAAAAAAAAAAAATCAATGAAATTATATTTTACGCAGCAAAAAATGTTGAAAATGTTCCGAAACGTATTTGAATCTTAACATAGTGTTTCCGCTGTCATATTACGTGAGTGTTTAATTTACCTGAGCAATAGCCCACGACAAAAAGAAACCAGCGGATTTTGGATCGGGCAACATTCCCTTGGCTGTGTCGAAGCAACCGAAGTATGATGCTCTGTAAATGATGATTCCTTGAACAGATACACCAAAACCCTTGTACAAGCCAGTTATTCCGTCGGATTTGAAAACTTTAGTTAAACAGTCTCCAAGACCGTTGAATTCCCGGGCAGCTCCAGCTTTACCAACGTCAGCGGCCAACCTTTATGAGTAAGTTGGAAATATATGATTGATCATAATATTACCTAAGAATTATGATGATGGTAAAATTATGCTTTTGACTTACCTGGTTCGGGCGAAATCTAATGGGTATACAAAGCACAAAGATGTTGCACCAGCAGCACCACCAGATGCTAAGTTACCGGCAAAGTATCTCCAGAATTGTGTGTTCTTGTCTACACCACCCAAGAATACTTGCTTATACTTGTCTTTGAATGCAAAGTTCAAAGCTTGAGTCGGGAAGTACCTAATCACGTTGGCCATGTTTCCTCTCCAGTATGCTGTAACTCCCTGTTCCTTGGGGATACGGACGAAACAGTCCACCATACCTAACCATAGTAAATTTAAATTGAAAAAAATCCTGCATAACCGTACACTCAAATTAATATTAATTAATAATTACCCTTGTATCGATCTTCAGGTTTGATTTGCTTGGAAATGTGTTGTACTTGCAACAGCAGTTTGACACGTTCAATAGGAGCAACAGCGGTCTTAGATACGGCAGCAGAAATACCACCGGCTAAGAAATCCTTAAGGAAAGATATTGGGTCGGCCAAAGCGGGCATTACTACGGAGTCTTTTTTGTTCAGAGCCATGATTCTTTAAACTCGTTGTTTAATTGTTAAAAAAAAAAAAAATTAATTCAAACTGACTCACACGCAACGGAGAAGGTACTGACACGACTGACTCTGAGGGCGACGTTGTTACGCTTATATCATTGGGATTCTGCCCACCTGGCTTGATGTCAAGACACTTTGGGTCTTGGTCATTGCGTTAGTTTCTTATTGATATCTCTATTGTGTAAAATCAAAATACAAAATAATTTTTTTTCACTATTAGAAATAAAAAATAATTTTTATTATATAAGGAAATATTAAAAAAATATTTATAATGATACCTAAATGATGTTTGTGATAACAAACTAGGTAATGAAAAAAATGTAATACATTTTTCATTTTCAGTCATCATATTTTAATTTTACTTTATTTTAATAAAGTACGTTTATTTTGTAATATATAATATTATATTATATAATTTATAATTGTAATGAAAACATAATTTAAAAAATATTTTGTTAATATTATTTGATAAACTATATATTTTCAACTTCTTAAATCAAAACTAGATTAGTTGCCATATCCAACCTGAATAATTATTTCATATAATATTTTGTTATCTTGTCTATCATATTAAGTAAAGAACCACTTTAAAAAATCGAATTCATTGGTTAAAAAATAATATATATAAAATTATTTAACTTAAGCCATTTGCAAAAAGTACAATAAATCCATGTAAAAGTGTATTTTATTAGCTATAAATAGGGATTATTATTCATTTTTATTTTTATTTAAAAAATTTAATTACAATTTGTGGAATATATACAAATATGAAATATGATTTTATGAATAATGTTTGATATAAGAAGTATAAGGAGGAACTAAGAAGGCGGTTTAGTTATAGAATCCTTATTGCACAAAAAAATTGATATAAAATTTGATTAAATGTTTCAATGCGTAGTTAACTTACTTAACTAATTTTATTATTTTATTTGTTTTCTGGAAATTTGAAAAGCATTTTCCAATTTTATTACACATATACTTCAACATTGATCATATAATTTTAATTGATTGATACTGGACTAAATATTATTATTTTTTTTTTATTTTTCCTAAAATAATATCCTTTATGTAAATAAAATAAACTAATTAATCGTTGTACAAGAAATTACTCTTTTAACTCGGTTTGAATATAATTAATAATATTTCTACCGTCTATTTACAATTGTATTATTGTTTCTGTTTACCATTTGTTTTTTTTTTTTTTTTTTTTTAATTGATGAAGCCACAACTAAAATGGTTATTGGCTTTTTAATCTAAAGTTATATTTACATATTGAAGGGAGATACAACTAAATACATAAAGAGTTATATTAAATTAAATTGTACATTTTTGTTAATTTTAAAAATTTAAAAATTTTGTAAACATTTTCTGGGTCTGGACTTAGTGTTGCTGGAGGTTGTCGGATATTTCTAGACTGTCCTTGATGTCACTGTATTTTAGGCAGTTGCAAATTACATGTTTGACTGTGAGAGTTACTCCATTACCATTTGTTATATTATAATTTGATTATATTTGTATTAAAATTAATTTTTATATTATTAAAAAATTGCTAAAAAATGTTAAAGTATTTAAAATTATACCTTTATGTAATTTTATATATACATTGAAATCAATAATAAATATTACATTAAAATGCCCTTAAACAACAGATATTTTGCCAGCATTTTAACTCGAAATAATATTTTGGCAAACAATGATATTTTTTTCACAAGGCAACAACTAGATGTAATGATTTGTCGAGGTCTAAAAATCATAATGCTGCCAAACAGTTATTGGATTTGTATCTATTATAATACTTTAATCATTCTAATTTTATTATTGACCAGATTATTCGTATTGTTTGTAATGATAATTTATGCTTGTCTATGGACTTTTTAAATTTTTTTTCTTATTTTATACGCTATAATTTGTAAGTCCTGAGTTGTTAAATAAATAAATTTACATTACTAAACTAAAATAAGATAATTTCTTCGATATTTCAACGTCAAACAGATTTTAATTCGAACGTTTGGAGGACACTGATATTAAAAATTACAATTAATAAATAACTCATAGTTGAAGTTTATCATGATAATTTCATCAACCAATATTAGGAAAAAAACCTCATAGATTCTTTAAATAATTCTGTATTCTTCTAGTTTCCTGTTACAAAAAAAA